CAGTTTAATGTGCACTATTTCTGGCAGTCTGCAAAGGCCCTTAGTCTGTCGCAGCAAACAGTGATAACCAAGAGTCACATGTGGCACTCACAACAAATATCTGGATTATCTCTTTTATCTCCCCCCCTCCCTACTGCTACAAAAGAGGATGTTTCAGGTTGGCTGACGGTTATGCATGTAAATGGGTGGAAAGGTGTGGTTGCTGTGGTCAGAGGATATTGAAATGCAAAAAGGACTGTACATTGGTATTATCTTAACAGTGGTATCAATGGTCCTGTTAACACATGGAGTGATAAGCTCTTTGTTGCGGTTTTCAGTGGCACGAGAACTTCCTGATGAATTTTTATTCATCTGTTTCACAGCTTGGGATCTGTTGAAGGTTTTTTTGTTTTTTACTCTATTCAAGGATGATCATCTTAAAACACTTGGTGTCTCGGAGGTAGAAATGTTTTACCTCTCTAGGTTCCCCCCCCCCTTAATTTTGCTATTAATGATGTCAGATATTTGGTAATTTATTCTTTTGCGTAGAGATCTTTTGCATAGGCCTTTATGTTGTTGTGGTGTGCCTTCCAGTCGTTTCCAATTTATGGCGACCCTAAGGTGAAACTATCATGGGTTTTCTTGGCAAGTTTCTTCAGAGTGGGTTTGCAATTGCCATCCTAAGAAGCTGAGAGAGTGTGACTTGCCACAAACCAAGTGGGTTTTTATGGCTGAGTGGGGATTTCAACCCGTGTCTCCCAGTGTCCTAGTCCAATGCTCAAACCACGACACCATGCTGGTTCCTTGTATGCCTAACATAAAAATACAAGAGGGTGTTACTGGGAAATGAGGGGACATAGTATGTGGAAGATGAGTTGTTGTATGAAAGAAACCTCATGTTGTGGATGATACTATTAAGTCCTGTGATACTAAAGTTCCCGGAGACACTGGGGACTACTAGTAATTGTGTTTTTCCCCTCTGTTGCAGAGTCTGCTGTTGCTGATGAGCAACTTTTTTAAAATAGAGATGGTTGGATGTAAGTGTGTTGTCTGCCTTCAAGTCATTTCCGACTTATGGCTACACTAAAGTGAACGTATCATGGGCTTTTCTGGAGCTGAGAGTGTGTGACTTGCCCAAGGTCGCCCAGTGGGTTTTCATAGCAGGGGAAGGAATTCAAACTCTGCTGTCATGCTACTACACCACACTGGCTCTACAGACCTAGCACCCAAAGCTTAAAGAGATGTATCATTGTGCAAGATGGGTTATGGAACCACTGATAATACAGTCAGCTTTCCATATCCACGGATTCAACCGTGGCTTCAAAAAATACTTTTTTAAAAATTCCAAAAGGCAAACCTTGATCTCGCCATTTTATATAAGGGACATCATTTTATTATGCCACTGCATTTAATGGGACTTGAGCACCCAGAGATTTTGGTATCCACAAGGTGTCCTGGAACCAAACCCCAGCAGATATCAAGGGCCCACTGTATATTTCAGTAATTTTTACCATAGGTCAATTGTTCCTTCCCTGTGCTTTAAGCCTAGCTCTATTATTAACCTGACTACATTGCCTTTCTTGTGGATTTACTGGCTTGACAGAATTACAGACTATTGCCATAAGGCAGGGATGGGGAATTTTAGTTCTCTTGATGATTGTAGTCCTCTTGATGACGATGCCAGTGGCATAGTGGTTTGAGTGTTGGGACTAGGATGCTGGAGACCAGGGTTCGAATCCCTGCTTGGCCATGGAAATCCACTGGGTTTATAGTAAAACAAAAATTATGTCTTGTGTTTTACTATAGCACAGCGGTTTATAGTAAAACACAAATTATGCCATAGCAAGATATATTCTTAGCCCTGCAATACATTTTTTTCTTTTGGATTTCCATTTTTGAATTAATTGATTTTTTTTAAAAAAAAAATACTATGCCATTCTGTGAACACTCATCTTGGGAGTTTGGAATATAAATACATTGAATTATAAAATAATTCATTTATATCCTGCCTTTTTCTGTTAAAAGGCAATTTACATTACTCTTCTCCTCCTCCTGACAATTTTATCCTCACAACTCCGTGAGGTAGGCTTTGGTGTTGTAGTTGTTGTTGTGTGCCTGAAATCATTTCTGCCTTATGATGATCTGTGGTGTAGTGGTTTGAGTGCTGGACTATGGCTGGAGACCAGGGTTCAATTCTCAGCTTGGCCATTAAACCCCTGGGTGACCTGGGGCAAGTCACATGCTCTCAGCCGCAAGGGAAGGCAATGGCAAACCTCTTCTGAACAACTCTTTCCAAGAAAACACCATAATAGTTTTGCCTTAGGGTTGGCATGGGTCAGAAATGACTTGAAGGCACACAGCAGCAACAACAAAAGTGAAGTGGTATGCTGTGTGTGTGTGTTGTGTGTGTGTATACTTGTGTGCCTTCAAAACATTGACCCTAGGCGATCCTATCACTAGCCTTTTCTCAGGCCTAGTGTGTGTGGCTTGCCCAATAAGAGATTAATAGTATCACTATTGTTGTTGTGTGCCTTTAAATTGTTTCAGACTTACGGTGATCCTAAGGCAACCCTATCATGGGTTTGTAGGACCAAGTGAGGATTCGAACTCTGGTCTCCTGCTGTCCTAGTCCAACACCCAACCACAACAACCATGCTGGTTCTTGAGGCATGCTAGGCTGAAGGAAAAAAGGAAAATCTTTGAGTGGGAATCTGAATTCAGTATATGAGTAAGATAAAATGTAATAATAAAGCATTTTGAGACCATTTTAACTGTCCTGGCTCAGTGGTAGGCAATCCTGGAAACTGTAGTTTATTGTGGCACCAGAGGTCTCTGACAGAGAAAGCTCAATGTCTCACAAAACTACATGTCCCAGAACCTGCCTCCTGCACTTACTGCTTGGATTAGATACAAGGTTACGTTTTTCCAGCAGAGGTAATCAAAACGGAGGGCATTTTTAAAGTTTTTCCCAGACAGATGTGTCCTGGAAATAGGAGGAGGTCTAGTCGTATCCCAGTTGATAGTGACTGAGGAGGATCTTGTTTATTATATTATTTTTGGTATTATTATTATAGTATTTTATTATTATAGCATTACTTATTAATGTTATATAGTATTTATTTATTTATTTATTATTTAAATGTTATATAGTATTTATTTTAGTGTTATTATAGTATTGTTTTATATTACAGTATTACTTATTAATATATAGTATTATTTATTATTTACTATCATATTATTGTTATAGTACCATTATTTTAGTATTTCATTATTACAGTATTACTTATTATTATATAGTATTATTTATTCTTTATTATGGTATAGCACTATTTTAGTATTTTATATTATTTTAGTATTTTATAGTATGATGTTTTTATCATTCACGCTTTATTGTGTATGTTCTGATGTACTGCTCTTTGGTGGAAAGGGCATTATAAATAATAATAATAATAATAATAATATAGTATATTATTATTTTAGTATTTTATATTATCTTAGCATTTTATAGTGTGATGTTTTATCATTCACATCTTAATATATATGTTCTGATTTAACGCCCTTTGATGGAAAGGACATTATAAATTACTGTTGTTATTATTTTCATTTTTATGTCGCCTTTCTCCCAAAAAAGGGACTCGAAGCAGTTCACAAGAAAAAACACCTTAAAAACAATTTTAAAAAAAACAATTTAAAATATGTATAAAATTAAGACTAAAAACATACAAAAGTTAAAACACATCTATTATTATTATTATTATTATTATTATTATTATTAT